AGTTCAACTCAAAAAGTTGTGGAAGTAGAAAATATATGGTATATGTTATTAAGGTTTTTTTGTTTTTTTTTTTTTTACTTCAAATAGCACCCTCCAATATTTCTCCATTGGAAAAAATATTTCAGGATTGGGAAAAATCACTTATATGCCCCACCTTGTTCCCTGTCAAAGTCTATTTGTGTGATAGGCAACCCTTGATTTTCTACTAGTATTTTTTCAAGAGTTTCATTGCTGATCTGGTTATTTGGAATAAAAAATACACTTTTCCATACCAACCTTGTTATGTGTAATATTTATCTTCCTAAATCTAAAAATACAATTACACACATAAGATAGCTTATGAAGCCAACTGTGCTTTAAAACCTTCAACTATTTGTCAAATCTAACAATCTTGTCCATGGGGAAAATATTGGCTTCATTCTGAGTTATGTATTAGGCCCCCAAAATACATAAACCAGTTCATTCTTAGTAGCGGAATATAGAATTATTTTTCCTTTGCTTCAGTATGCTGGGTGATAGAAGCAAGGAATTTCATGGGACTGTGAATATCATAAGAGATACAACTTTAAGGTTAGCTTGTTCAGAGAAGGTCAAGTGGTAAGGAGTAGGGTGAGATTTCAGTGGGAGCTTGTCTTACTATATCTAATAAGTAGTAAAAGGAGTAAAACCTTGAAGGGTAGGAATGGAGGTGAAGCCCAGCTGGATCCACGGTTCACACAAAAAAAGATGTTCCTGTCATGCCATTTAGAATCCAGGGATAATTTGTATTAGTAAAGGTGAAAGAATTAGGTTGACTGAGACTTCAGCCAAAATGTTTTATTTTAAATAAAGTCAGTTCATGGTTTATGATTTTATTGATGTTTGTAGGAGCTTAAATCTAAATATTAAACCTCATCAAGGACATTTTCTTTACATTGATTGACCTAATAAATACCCCACATTCTTATAGTTAGCTAGAATTGTAAGTACCTGTGAAAGCTGATAACATGTTTGCCATACTGAATTATACCATATCCTCCTTTTACCTTAGAAATATGTAGCTATGTAGCAAAACATAAAAGTGTTATTTTATAAAATGTACTTCTCTTCCTGCACCTTCTCCATCCAATCCATCTCACACTGCCCTCAGATTAATCTTCCAAATGCATTGCTCTGATATATTCATTGCTACCTATACAAGGTGTTCTGTAATATATCTCCATCTTAACTATCAAATCTTGTTTCCCCTAAAACTGTACAAGAATTCTTTGCTTCCTTAGAGTGAATATTTTTTTTTTCTGTTTCATGAACAGTACATACCATTCTACTTTCTTTTTTTTTTTTTTTTTTTTTTTTTTTGAGTTGGAGTCTCACTCTGTCGCCCAGACTGGAGTGCAGTGGCCGCTCCCGGCCACCGCAGCCTCGACCTGCTGGGCTCCGGCGATCCTTCCGCCTCAGCCTTCCAGGTAGCTGGAATTACAGGCATGCGCGACCACGCCCAGCTGATTTTTTGATTTATTATGGAGATGAGGTCTCGCTGCCCAGGCGGGTCTCGAACCCGCAGGCTCAGGCAATCCACTCACCTCAGCCTCCCAAAGGCGCGGGATTACAGGCTGAGCCACCGAGCCCGGCACCATTCTACTTTCTTGCTCTGGAGTTTAGGTGGTTCTGGTGTATTACCTTTGTTTTCTTCCCACAAATCCTACTTGCTCTTTAGGACTCTATTCAGGGTTCATAAAACATATTCATTTTTCTTGAATATGACATGTTCTTCCTTCTTTATTTAATGCCATACATATCAGCATTTAATTATCTAGCATTTGTAGTGACTTCTAATTATTTATGATGGACACTCTATTTCCTGTATTCTATTGGAAGCTTCTAGTTATATATAAAGTATCATTTTCAACGTTAGACACGGAATTGTACCTAAATACATGCTTTTAATTTTAATGATCACCTTTGACTAATTAAGACAGAATTTTAGGTGTGTTCGTGTTGCTCTGGAATTGTTAAGATATAAAATTCTGGTAATCTCAGAAATAACACATCAGCCCAAGAGGCATACCCTACTATATTTTTAGAAAAAAATTGCACACTGAATTATCGGTTTAACTCATTGTTTAAAATTTCATCCAACAGTGAATAAATAGTCCCCAATCAGAACATAATGAATAATCATGACATGTCCTTAAAAGTTCATCAGTTGAGTTCAACTGCATTTGTGGTATTGTAGCTCTCTGATTTGAATAAATGAGTAGTATGTTCAATAAGGCATACATCACTTCCAAAGATGCTAATAAATGTGACTGAAATCCTAACCAGTCTTAAAATTAGCACATCTGTCTTCTTGGAGCTTCTGCCTCCAATACATCTAATGTATACAAATTTAAAACAGGGTCCCAGGTTTGTGTTCTCTGCTGTCCTATCATTCAGTTTAAATCTAGAAAGTTTAAAGGATTGAAGAGTAACTGACAGAGGAGTTAAAAAGGAAAATCGTACATGGTCAATGAGGGGTCAAGGGAGAAGACCTTTTGTTTTAATGATTAAAAAGCTGAGCTTCAAAATGATCATCATCATCTAGGCATTATATTCAAAATGACTATCACCACCCCCAATGATAGGCAACTATCTTCATACCCGACTTTTGTTTTACATCCCATAATTTAGCTGCTTATATGCTTCAAGAGAGAGTTAAACCAGATGAAACTGGAAAAATACCCATATTTAATTTCAGTAAGTCATTGAAAAAGAAAAGCAGGAGTGTTTTGTAAGCATATACTCTCTGTGTGTGCACACATGCATGCACATGAGTGCAAACTGGAATAAAACTTTTGCTGATTCCTTTTATTTTACTTGTAATATTTGACAAATTTTTATAATTTTAAATGAGGAAGTAATTTAGTTATGTGTGTGACTGCAGAGAGGTTTCCTCCAAGTTCAAGCTGAAGTTGTGAAATGCAAGGTTCAACATCAGATTTGGGCTTTATAATACTGACAGCTATCTAACAAATGATGCATCTCCTTGGCATTACAATTGTCCATACTGACTCTGAGATATCAGACCTTTGATAGTCTTCAAAGACCCTCCCATTCACTCCTGAATCTCAGATTCTATTCTAAATTATTTTTTGAACATTATCCACAGAGACACATTTCCTTGAGTAAGAAGGCATAATGCTGGTATTTTCTGAGGGAGAGAAGACTTTACACACACTTTACAACCAAATCTATAAGATTTGTGTTGTGTTATACATAAATGCCATTATATATAAATGGCATACATTGGGAAGAACAGCAACAGTTGAGTCCACTAAAAATGTTAGCTGACTTAAAAGGTATGGAAATATACTTTTATACTAGGATTGCAATTATAAATGACAATGAGATGAGCATGTCTTGTGGTGGCAGCAGCTGTGTTCCACCCCCACTATTCCACACGTGGTGAAGTTACGAAGGTCAGAGACTCTGGAATTTGCATGAGACTAATCCAGCTCCTGCAGCCACACTTCCATTATGAATATTAACTGCATTTTCTCTAATGAGAGTGCAAAGGGAAATAATGTAACACTGATCCTCCTAATCCTAGGGGAAAAGTGTTTACACTTGAGGAAAAAAATTGATATACACTGAAATCACCATCCTGTCATGAAGGAACTCTTGTTCTGTAACCAGTTCCTTTTTGTAAGGCTAAAATTCTTAAGTTGGTGGAGGAGGGAGGTGGTGGTGAGGAGGGGTATTTGGAAGGGTGGTCAAGGAGTTGTGTTGACCTGGCCAACATTTCTATCCCAGGAAAAATGGAGGTTGCATTGTGGTCCTCACTCCCAGTATTTTCTTGGCTCATTTTCCTCTGATGGGCCAATGAAGTGGGTTCCAAATAACCAGGATATTCCTATAGTTGCCTCTACTTCCCTAAAAGTCTCAATCATCCACTGTACCCAAAATTGAATTACTCCCGTTGATGTTAAGCCAGTGTGCATAACTGCTACCAGGTGAGTTTAAACCACATACCACATTAAGCACCTGGACCTCTTGGAGTTAGGAATCTAATGGCATAGCTTCCTCTGGTCATTACTCTAACTTTTAAATAATGTAAGCTGACATATCATATGATTGACTACAAGGGCCCTGATTGTGTGTAATGTTGTGGGTACAGTATACTACCAGACCAGGCCTACTTAGCCTACAAAAATCCTAGGGATCTTTTTCCTCTTGTAGTCTTGTTAGGACTCAAGATTTCCATAAATGATAATGGTAAGAAGGTGATGGTGAGAGAAAACATCTGCAGAAGTAGCAACATGATTCCAAAGTAGCAGACCTACAGTCGTTGGATGAACAGCTATAAGTATTACGGGATAAAATACATGTTTACATTACAGATAAGGAATGGGAGTAGCACTGCCACTTCATAAAAAACTGACAAGTTTCTTGGTCAACCAGAATTTGAGTGGGCTCCTGAATTTTACCAGGAGTGAACCAAGGAGAAGGCAAAAACAGAACTTAAAAAAAACAGTAGGACAGGGCTATGACTGACCTTGGTTTCTCAACTAGCCTACAATGAACACTTAGACATACAAAGAAATCTGATATTTCTTTGGGCCAGATTAGATATATTTACCTCTTCCTTTTTTTTTATTTTTTGCTCTCCACTGAAGATGGTTCTAGAATAAACTTTTGGAAAATAATAACTATTCAAAACAGATTTTCTAATTCGTAATTTTCTAATTCCCATTTTTCTTGCTTCCCAGTACAGTCCTTCCTCCTGGCAGCAGGTTCACTAAGCACACATGGCCAGGAAAAGGCCAGTGTGATTCCAGAGAACAACTGAGGCAAAGAATATCAGCTTGTTCCAAAAGGTTAACTGAAATAAGATATATATTAATATCTGTTTGGAAATACCAAAACTGGAAGAAACTTTGCAAACACCTTCCTTTTCCTATATTTTGCTTTTCATTGATTCTATTATATATTTCATTGACTATAGTTAGCAATTTGAAAATAAAAACTCAGTGACAATTGGTAAAGTCAAAATGCTTTTATTTATACTGAAGATTAGCAAGTACATTTTAAACAAAGAAGGTGTACTTTTAAATTAATATATGGTAGAACAGAGAAACCATACATATGTTTCTAATCTCTAACATACTACTGCATTTTCTTTCCTCAAAATGCAAAAAGCCAAGCTGAAATGAGCATAGAAACGCATAAAATATGGTCAAGTTACTTTAGTCATTAATATCCATCTCATATTCTTAAACTGGTCGATCTAATGTAAAGACAAAGTTTGCATCATTGCTTTTAAACTGTACACATGGTTCTTTCTTTAATGTAACATAGATTGAATAACTCCTTCAGTAAACAAAGCTTTGCTGATAAACACAATTGCAATAACTTCATGTTGAATAGTTTCAGAGATAAACTGGAATCACAAACATCTTCATTTATGTAAAGCCAGTGAGGACCTTTCAGGCCGAATAAAACTGTTGTGCCATTGCTAAACAGTAATAGTTACCTCCTTAAAAAAAAAGAAAACAAGTTAGTTCTTCTGAGGAATAATTCTGATACGTGCATAAAATACTAAAACGTCTATCTTCAGGAACCCAAATTGATCTTATGTAACAGACTTGATTTAGCGTAGTAAAATTTAACTTTTCTTAACATTTCTATATGTTAATGTGTCAGTTTTCAAAGATCCTTCAAGTTTCATGCTACAGCTTCTCTGCTTTCCACAGCACTAGAGACATTGAAGGCTTCATAAACTATGTAATAATGTCTATAATGATCTATATTACTTTTTTCCTTTCATGCATAATGGTACATTTGAAATCCCTATGGTTTAACAAAATAGGGGGAAAGGAGTATCTAGTTATGATCTAAAATTATGACAACTTTGTACATTTGTAGTATCCTCTCCTCAGGGTAATTCTGGACTGTGAATACTGCATGAAGGAAGACTAGTATGAATACTATTTTAGCCATAGTGTTTGATCAAACTGGCATTCATGGTAATGAAAAGAGTTCACATCCTGGAGTTAGATAATATTTGACAGATGTGGGTAAAAGTTATTGCTGGAAATTTTTTAAAAATATAATTCTACTTTTTGCCTAATATTACTTATTTTTTTTAAATAGCAATGGCCTACGAACTGAGTCTAGATCTAGCTGTATTTTAAAAAATTGTGTTGCAAAAGGAAAAGCAGGAAAATAAATGTGGATGAATCCGTTCAAATTAATCACCTGTGCTTGAGAAACATTTAAAATCCATATTTGTGAATCAAATATATTATCTTCACATATAAAGGACAATACATGATCATAGTTTGTCTAATATGCTTAGTCTAAAATAGTAACTCTTTCTGGCTAAAGTTTAGTATTAATAGGAATAACGTACACCCTTTTTAACCTTGTGTATAATATATTTAAAATATTTGTTATTTCTGTATAGATGGTATCATGGTGAGTAGGTAAAATTTTCTGGATAATACCTCAGAACCAAAAATAAAGATGTGATAAGTTAATATAATAATAATAATAATAATAATAATAATAATAATAATAAACGTTTGTGTTTGTGTGAGAATAGCTGGGGAACTGGAATTCATTAGAAGGCAACCAGACATTTTCCCTAGGAACCCATGGAATTCACCTGAACTTTTCCAGGAACCAGATAAAAACAAAGCTTCAGGTTTTGGAAACTGTCTGGTAATCTTCCACCATAGAGAATTACTCAGACTACTTTGTGGAGTTTGAGAATATTTATTCTGATAAAATTGACCAGATAGTTGTCCAGTTCTCCAGTCTACCTCATCCTCTGTATACACAGCCTAAATGTCAAAGGAAAGCTCTTAAACATCATATGACAGACAGTTATTTTACTAGGGTTGAAATTTATACAATATAGCTAAAGTTTATATCATGCAATGCAAATTGTGAAGATTACAAACTTGAAAGCAATGGCAAAACAATATCCTCTATACAAAGGTACGTAAAAACAGCAAGGAACGCCAAAAAGGCAATCATTATTTGTTCTTTAGAAAAATGCAGTTTCTGAGAAATCTCTACATTTTTGTTTAATTTTTGTCTTTATTAAGAGACAAACATATCTGCCCACACCCTTCATTAAATGTGCCTGCTAATAAGGCTTATCAGGTACAGTTTCCATGCAGCTCAAAAATCCAAAGAAAAACTAGGCTAGCTAGAAGAGGACAGCATTAATATGAATCAATTTTTCTACCCAGAATATAATAGAGATTTTATGTTAGTAAAACTTTTTCTCCCAATTTTGAAGACAGTAGCAAAATAGACTCATGTGTATCATGCTGTATAATGTTGATACATGTTTGGTTACTGTTTTACATATGCCAATACTGGATGATCAATAAAGAAGGAGCCAGTATTGACCTGCTAAGTGACAATGATCCTTGGAGCAATCTTAAAGTCTGCCACATTTCAATTTCAAAATGCATATCAGCTATAATATGAGTAATTTATCATTTAGTAGAAGCTGTCAAAGTAAACTCCTAGATAAAACAAAAACATCTGGAACCATATATATAAGAGAGCAGTGGCTGAATTTTAATCCAGACCCTGCTCACTTCATTAGAAACAAGAAACAGCTAATTAGTAATTGAATGTCTCCTGTTTTTAGAGGGTTTGGACTTGAACTCCAAACAGAGCTGATCTCATATGCATTCTGGATGTAAACAAGATTAAAGATCAGGAAGAGCAACTAACAAAGCCTCTCTAGGGGAATGTTAGGGAGCTTAGAAACCTACAAGGAGAGACACACACACTGACATTGTGCTGACAGACTTTATTGCTTTAAGATTTACCAGATAAGTAAAAGTAAGAATTTGTTATGAACAAATGTGACCACTTTTGAAGTAAAAACACAGTTCCATGCAATCCTTCCCTTAGCACAGCAACGTCTGACATAGGCACACCCCATGGCACAGAAGGCCAGTGTCAACCTTTCATACAGGAAACGAGCCTCTGCTGGTCAGTTGAGTTATCTTTTAAAAATCACAACTGGCTGCTCTAACCTCAAGTAAATGTGAAACTTGCCTTCTGTGGTATACACCTAAAGTCTATGAGCAGGAATAGCTAACATCAGATGTTATAAAGAAGGCAGATAGATGGGGAAAGGCCAGGGGGAAAACACAGGAGGAGTCTTTAAAAAATTATTTTTTATTATTTTATTTTATTTTAAAGATGTGGGGTACAATTCAGGATAGTTCAACCAAAGTAAGTTAAAAATATCTACTTATGAAAAGACACTAGTGTATTTTTAAGTGATTTCATATTCCAATATATGCTGTTTGACTATATAATGATGAGACTTTTGGATGCTATATTTACAGTCACTTCATTGTATTCACTTCAGATATTTGATATCAATAAAAATTGTCATTTGGTTTGTCTCAATCCTTCTCCATAAAATATTTCTAATGTGGCATTATTACAGCGAATTGCACACCTATTCTACATAAGCAGGCCTTCCACAGTCCCTGTAGAATACTAGAAGGTAAATCCATGTGCCTTAGAAGAAATTCCTTCAGAGAATGGAATGACTGAATTGTCACATTAATATGAATTAATGTAATATTTTAAAGGGTGTAGGATGGGTGGCCATTTCAGCAGAAATTGCATGTACTGTCATGGGGAGCTCATTTTTGTAAAATGGATAAAATCTCTGTTGGTCTGTTGCATAAGACAAGTGGTACTTTTGTCACATCAGTACTTACTTGGGGCTAATGTAAAAATAACAAAATGGATTAGACATTGCTTGATGTAAGGAGGGCACTTTAGGAGAGGCATTAAATTTTTTTGACCACTAGACTACCGTATAGCACATCAAAATATCACTCTACTAGATTCATAATAGGCATAAAAATGATGATAACAAGTATCTAACACCAGCCTATGTTCAGGTCTCTACTAAGTAAACAGTTAATAATAATTGAGGCCATTTCCTGAGCAATTCAAGCCAAATAATCTACTTGCTCTTAATCACTTGAACACAGTAGGCATCCGACCATGTCTAAACCAGAAGGTGAACACTGCAAAATATTCATGCTGTATCTGACCCATCATATCTGCCTTTCTCTATTCTTATGTCTATAGAGTTTTTTATTCTGTTTGCTTGTTGATAACTTAATAAAGAGAAAGAAAGTTTGGACTTGGGAGAAAAGAAAAGAAGAGTAAGTTTGTATTTTAGTAAATTGGGTATCTGGTTTTATCATTGCCTTCTTTATAGGTGAGGGATATGCCAGCAGAAAGGGGTTAAAAGACTTGTTCCAGAATCAATAGTTCAAGGGAAAAACTGGGTGAGGTAATATCTCGAAACTAGAACTCCATATTTTCCCTTGGAGAACATTACAGGCAAAGCGTCTCTTTTAGAAATGTGATCTCCAAAGCAGTGATGACAAACATTGATTATCTGTACAAATGGATGACTTCCTGATATAATTATTGTTAAATCACAGGTCAGACAAATATAAAGCTATTTCACAGTAATCACAACTTAAAGTGAGTGTTTCTGAATTTTAATTTCTATCACACCATTTATAAATAGCATTTTTACTATCTTAAAAATTCTTTCACCTACTTACCCCACTAGGATGCTGTGTGGATTAATGTGAAAATGTTTGTGAAGCACTATGAATTAGTTGGAAGAAAGGGTTTAAAAAGGTGTAAAATATAATTTTCAGTCATCTTTATGATTATCCCCTAAAAACTCATGAAACCCATTCTCCAGCACATTTTTTCTGAACGTGCAAGTTTCTATTTATTAATAATGAACAAATAGTAATTTAAGTTTCCATATTTCAAGAATTTGAGTATGAATTCTAAAGAATTACAACACTAGTTAAACAGGTAACTACTACAGCACCCTATTCGTGCCTATGATCAGTTGGAGTTCCGGCATCAGTGTTCAGGCTGCACAGAAAAAACAATAAGACCTGGTCAAAATTTCATTCCAACAAATAAAATTCAAAATCTACTCAATGCACTTTCACTGGAAACCACAAACTCACTCGACAGTATTTTGCTGTGCTATATATGCTCAAGATTTGAATAAATCTGTGTGCAATAAATGTATTACTTTATTAGGTTTATCCTTTAACCAAATATTCATTTATATGTCTCATTTTATTAAAAATTAAATTATACAAAGGTGAGCAAAACTGTAGATTTACAGTAGTTTAAGACTTAATCTTATTCTCTAGGGATGATACTGACAATACAAAATTGGTATAAATGATATTTCCTAACTCTAAAATATACTTATGATTTCCCTGTGCATGTTCTTTTGCTTTGCAACCTGCAGCAAAATGTATTACTCGCTTAGTAAACAAAGCACTTGGGAAGGTTTTTTTTCCTTCACAGTCGAAAAGATGAGTAAAGATCCACAGTATTTTGAATGAGTCAAAATCTTCGTTAATGATTGCAATTTTCCCTCAGGATGAGATTTCCTTTCCTGACAGGACAGTTATTTGAAAGTAACGGTAAACT